TTTCAGTGATCCATGAGTTTCAGCCAGCAGTAAGACCAACTTTTGATATCCTTGGCTAAATAGCAAGTTCAAGTCCAACCTAGGCTAGCAACATCCGCCCCAAAGAATAGGAATTCTCTTAGTCATAGTAAATGGGAACCAATATTTGTTTCTCAATGTATGTGTCAAAGTCTGCACTTGCTTACCCTGAAGCTGAGGTATTAGCACTTTCATAGGCAAGAACACACAAGTAATTGTCTACCAGAGAGAAACTAGTATCATGTTTTAAAACAAGTCATCAAAAGCACAGAGGATTTTCCTGTTTGCTTTGGAGATTCTCAAAATTTCAAGAGATCTGTAACCTTCCACTATTAAAAAGTAGTCCTTGTTGTCATGACTTATTTACCAGCTTAACACTTGGTTGTGGTTTGGTCCTTTGCAATTTCCACAGATGCCTACAGGTGTACTGGTATTTTAAATAAACAACCAACAGTACCATGTTGAGTGGAAACATCAAGTGACCTTATCTTTAGATTAAGTGAAGGGATTTAGCAAAAATATTGAGCTGACATTTTCCCTTGGGTCCTCTGATTGGGAACTGATAAATGGTAAAGATAAACAGAAAGGTTGTACTTATCATCTGTGGCTGAGGATGCAGGACTGGCTTCCATTCTTGTAATTCTTCTAATGCAGTGAGTAGGAACAAAACACACAAATATTGATGTATTAAAACAGCAGAGAGCAGGAAGAGTACCTGTGTTGGATGGGTTATAGACCTATCCACTACATCTTCATGTCCAGGAGAAAAGAGGCTCATTTCAGCAGCCAGGCAGGACAAGGAGGGGCAGAGGATGGTCACTCGTTAATGATGTTACCCTTCAACCTCTACTGTGGCCTACTTTCTGCTCCCTGTTTATTTTTGGAAACCTAAGTGAGAAGGGTCTTAGTTAAAGACTACTGAGTTCTGATCCCTTCTTTGTATTAGTAAGCTGAAGACTAGTTAGTCTGATGTGATTCGAAGGGCCATGCAACTTGCAGATTCATTACCCAAGCCTAGCTTGCTTAATATTTTTAAAGGTTGGCATAGATTGTGAACAGTACTTAAGATACTAAATAGTACTAGGGAGATGGCTCTATTGGTAAAGCTCATGCCATGCAAGCATGAGGACCCGGGTTGGAAATCCCTGGTGCCTACATAAGAATCCAGGCATGATGACAAGCATCGGTACTCTGGTCGATGTGATCCCTGAATCTTGATGGCCAAATAGTTTAGTCACATTGGCTAGCTCCAGTTTAAATGAGAGACTCAGTAAGGTGGAAAGGAACAGAGAAAGTCACCTGATGTTGACCTCTGTCTTCTATACATACCGCTATGCCCTTCAAACACACAGACACAGACACAGACACAGACACACACACACACACACACACACACACACACCCCTCTCAGATGAAGCATGAGTAACAAGGCAGAGTTATAAGGGATAAAATGATGGAATTTAGTAACACAGACCATGAGGTGCCAGTTCAGGCCTTGCTACTCCCTAACACTGACCTTAAAATCTACTCCACTACAAGTCTGCTGTCTAAGCTAACTTTCACCTCGCTGTTACCAAATATCTGACAAGATGTGATTTAAAAAAGAAAGAATTCATTCCGGATGACTGTTTATAGACAATCACTTCTATATTCTTTTAGTTCATGCTTCTGTGCAAATGTCTGCTTAGCCCTCCTGAGACGCACTCTTCAGTTGCTTGACTGTTACGGGTAAGCTGAAAAGAAATATTAAGTTGGCTTTCAGGGTAGAAGTTTGATACCATGTCTACACTTTATGATGAGCAAGAATACAACCATTTACAAAAATTTCTGTGTAAGGAAGGCTGAGTGTTGTCTCAAACTAGACAGTAGGATTTAAGACCCACCATGGTGGAGAAGGCATGGAAGTGGGAACATATAGCATTTTGATCACATCTCAGTAGACCAGGAAACAAAGACAAAGAATTAAGGCTTGGCTATGTCCTCCAAAAATTACCTCCAATTAACCCACTTTGTTTAACTAAACTTGCACATTACAAAGGCACACACCTCCCAAAACAGCACACAGGCTGGGACTAAGTGTTAAAACATACAAGCCTGCCAGGGACGCTTACGTTTCAACCATGACACCTTCCTATTACTTTCTCTTCTTCCATACCTTCTTCTTTCCTGATGAAATTTATGCAAAATAGTTGCTTTTATTCCTGCTTCCCTCTGTTTTATTCTGTCTGGATTCGCAGACTAGCAAAGGTGCCACCTACCTCAGGTGGGTCTTCTCCCTTAGTTAATTCCACCCTCAAGGACACAGTCAGAGACCTCCTTTACAAATCTCCTGTGTACTTCTCCATCCAATCAAGTTGACAATCAAGAGAAGGAAACGTTAAAATAACTTTTCCCCGTTAATTAATTCATGGATTAATAACTGTGACACAGCACACATGAAAGCATTATCTGACAGGTGGGAGAGGTCAAGGAAACCTTCTGTTAGACATTAAATTTACAAGTTGTCGGAAATTGCTTTGAGGCCTAAGTTCAACCAATGAGCCTGCTAACACGCTTTTCCTGTGACATTGTGTTTAGCAAACACATCACCCAGGGATGTGAAAAGCCAGAAAATAGTCATTGGCTCATAGGAACTAGCTCTGTACACCATAAGCATTGGCCAGTTGTATTCAAAGAACTCAAATGCCACGGCTGGAAGAAGGAAACAGAAGTGATTTCTGAAGCAACTTCAAATCCTGAATTCATGTCAAGGTCAGTAAGCAAGTCAGGGATGCAGAGATCCAAGACAGAAAGATGCTGTCCCTGGGGAGATTCCAGAAGTTACTAGGGCAGTTTCCTAGCCAGCCATGGATCCTATGTTAGCACAGAAGAGCACCCGAGGGTGCAGCGTCAAGGGATACTCCCCAGGTGTGATACTAATTCAAACTCAATAGGACCTGGAATCACCATGGAGACAAATCTCTCTGGTCATATGTGTGAGGGAGTTTCTAGATTAGATTAACTGAAGTATGAAAAGCCACTCTAAATGTGAGTGACACCATTCCATGGACCAGGGTCACAGACTGAATAAGGAGAGAAAATAAGTAGAGCCCTGGCATCCATTATTGCTCTCCTCTTCCTGACCATGGCATCAACACAAGGAACTACCTTCTCTCTGGCCACCATGCCTTCCTAGCCATGATGCGCTGTAACTTCCTCTTGAACCAGAACAATCCAATCCTGGATTGAAGTTTCTAATACCACAAGCACTCTAGTCTCAAGGAAAGAAACGTAGATGAATAGCAGCTAGGTGCCAGTCCTCAGCCTCCCGTCTACAATGAGACATTTTTCCTGCCTCTTGCCCTTTTCAGTGTTCTTAGAAATTATCATCTGCTTGCTAGTATGTAGTATGGAACAGCAAATGAATACTTTCTTTCACTCATTAGACTGTGGCTGTAGGTAGGATATACCATCTCCATAGACAGATAAAGTGAGCTCTGTACTGATTATCTCAGGGACCACAGCCTCCCCTAGGTCCTCAGTACATGACTTGAACATGAGCTCATTTTTGAGAGGCAACAATTTGTATCATGTCCTTATCTCATGCTTGCTGTCCCAGCACACAAAGGGAACAGGAGAATGACTCCACTTGGAAAGAAGATAAAGTAATTGGCATGTTTAACTTCATACTCTATAGCTCTGAACACACTAATACCAAATAGCTCCCCCTCCTTTCTACTTGCAAAACCTCTCACAGTTTTGAGGAAATACTGAAAGAAAACTTCAAATGCATGACAAGATAGATGTGGCAGCTAGGGAATAGAGATGGAAGCTCCTTTATGATTAGAAACAAAAGCCTGGCTCTAATCCCCTGTGTGATACAAGCTTTAGCTGATCAGGGCAACACAGAGTCATTCTGCTGGAGTAAAGAGCTACCACTGTTAGCTGCTTGCTTCTTCTTGGCTCCTCCTCCTCTATATTTGCATATGCAAATTCCACAGCAAGAATAGCAGCCAGGCAATTCTACCCCAGGGCAAAAGTGTCCCCAAATTCTTACCAGTCCAGCTCCACCTGCTCACTCCAACATGGGTGATGATTCATGAACTATTTGAACTATGTTAGCCTCTATCACTCTGGGAAGCATGATATGCTAAGTAATTCCAAAGCCTGTGAGAGAAACCACAGCTAGAAAGACAAATAGTTCCTTATGTTATCCTTCTGAAACTTGGATAGTTTTGACGCTTTCCTTAAATGATAACAATTTTATACCCAAAATGGGCTATTATTCAGCAGAACTACTGCGGAGGAAAACCCAAGTCAGATTTAATAGGGTCCTAGCCTCTGGTGCTAGTGGATATTAAAAAAAAGATGTGGGGAAATTGGAAAAAAATACTGCTAGCCTCACCAAAACTGAGTTCTTATGTGCAATGGCAAAGAGAGACAGTGGGAAAATAACCAATGTGTAAAACAACAAATGAAATTTCCAAAACATTACCCTGTATCTTAAAATACAGACTTTCTTCTACAGAAGTTTTGTAGATGTGGTCATATGTTCTGACTCTAAAAGAATGAAATGGAGTTGTCTTTAAAAGTCTCTGGAGTTACACAGTCACCAGCAGATCTGTATGCTGGGCTTTCTTTCTACATCGCAGGGTCACTTGAGCAGAGAAGAGTGACACATTCTCCCCTTATGAGCAGACCATAGGAAACAGAAGGAAACAAAGTGCATTTGTCATGAACTATCCATTTCTCCCAGAGGAGGCTAACCCACTGGCATGCACATCTTGCCCCAAATTCACTGGGGGACTAGGAGGCAGAGCTGGGAGGATGCTCTACATAGCAAGCTCCATTCTTCACTCTGAATCCAACACAGCAATGCCATATGGAGAGATCAGGCACACAGCAAGGTTTCTTTGGGAACTGTTGGGCATGCAGAAGACAGTCTGCTAGAAAAGAGACCAAAGATACAGATGCATTTATACAGTGAAGAGGGTTGCACTTACTGAATGCTGAGCTTGATCAAGAGAACCGCAAGTCCCACTTTCATGAGGTCCTTGATCAGTTTCCTAGAGAAGAAAAGAGGAGACATGAGAAAGAGGATCCATGTGTATGTCCTGGGTTTGCATGCATTGCTGTTATCCTATGCATGCCACTTCAGTTATACTAGCACTAGTTGCTTCTAAAACAGATCCTGACTGTATTATAAAATTTCTATGGTGAAGACAATAAGAAAACAAAGAATAAGTTCTTCAACATGTGTGTTAAATCTTTTCATCCTACGTAAGGTGTGATTATTTTGTCTGTTTCAGGAAAGGCCACTGGACTCAGAGTGTGAGTGAATATATTCTATAAAGACTGGAATATAATCACGAAATCTGGAAACATTCTCTGCTCTGCTGCTCTCTTACAGTGTGATTTCTAGGTCCCACAAGGTCATAGGGAAGTATGAGTAGTTGATATTCAGGGCTAATGTTATAGATTTCACAAATGGGGCTAAATTCAATGAAGTAAGTTCTAAATTTCCTTTTAATTCTGAGCCTACAGTGGACATTTATGGGGGCCAATTGTAAGATGGTCAGATGTTTAGAAGGAGTGATGATCTAGGAGTGTAGCTCCATGGTTGTTCACTTGCTTAATGTGCATTGAAAAAGAGGGTCACTTCCAAATAAGAATGATCAGGATTCACTAACAGACTTAGAATTCTTCCAGGGTACCCTAGAGCAGGTTGGCTATGACCTGTTTCTTCCTTTGAGACGAAACAGAAGTGCCGGAAGCAGAACTTGTTTTCAGGGTTCTGGAATCCTGATTCAGGGATTACTCAATTACTAGGAAACAGTGTCACGATTTGCAGGCAGACTCAGAAGTTCATAGGTTTCAGACTTAATTTTAAACATTTTCAGACACATTAAGAAATATACCATTTTCTATATGTGCTTATACATGTGATGGAAACAGGTATAGAAAATGTTCTAATTTGGTGAATTCATGAGTGTTGGTAAATTAGAGTGTTCAAGATCATCGGGTGGTTTTAAACTGTTGGGAAGAAAGGAGAAATGTAGAGATACCTGAGAATATACAGAACTCTGAAGTGATAGGGTGGGTAGCCTCTTTTGCTTTATGTTTTTATTTCGGTAACATCTTTTAGTCACTGTAAAATCTTGAGAACCAATGAACAAATGTCTACTTATCACCAATCCACCCATCTATCCACTCACCTACACATATACATACCCACCCACTCTTCTACTTACTTATCCATCTATCCATGTACTATTATAACTCCATGAACTTACCTACCATCCAACCCTCATCCATCCACTTATCAACCCATAGGATATTCCTCCATCTGTCTGTCTTCTATCCATCTACATATATATACCTCTCCACCCCAACAAACATGAATCTGTCCAAGCTTCCATCCATGCATGTATCTATATGTTCACCCACCCATACTCCCTTCCATTTGTTTATACTACTTATCTATCCAACTACCCACTCATTCACTCATCCATCGACTTACTAGTCCTCCATATGCCTAACTGCTCACTGCCCCCATTCAACCTTGAATCTATCTTTATATTCATATTCAATCACGCAACAACACACCCACCCACCAATCCATTCATTCACTCATCTACTCAATGCTCCAATCCATCTACCCACCCCACACACATCCATTCCATCTATTCATATCATCTGACCACCCAGTCACACACCACACACTTGCTCACATACACACACAGACACACAGACACACACACACGTACATAGATGTGTGTGTAACCTACTCATCCCCCACTTATTTGTCTACCCACCATGTGTATCCATTCACTCACTCTCCCAATGCATGCATGCATACATACATACATACATACATCTACTCACACACTCTCCACCTATACATCCATGCATCTATTCATTGCTGCATCCCTCTGTCCATCCACCCATTCTTACTCACACGCCACCCAATCATTCACAAAGGTATTACTGTTTATCTCCCCGACCCCCTGCTGCCCCTGCTGCCACTGAGCAGTTAAGAATACTTATTGCTCTTGTGGAGGACCCTCACTCAGTTCCTAGAACACATGTAGTGGCTTATATCACCCCTAACTTGAGTTCGAATTATGCAATGCCCTAACCTGACCTCTGTGGGCACCAGGCAAGCACACAGCCCATATTCATACTTGTAGGCAAAGCAGTCATATACATAGAATAACTAAATCTAAAAAGAAAATTTTAAAGAAAATAACTTGGCAGGAAGCTGAAGTAAAAAGTGACTTGGGGAACATGGTCCTGGAAGAACAGTTAAGACGGTTCAGAAATGAACAACCAACTCCCAACATTCTTTGAACTAAGTAGGAAGACAGTCTGTTTTCTAGGAAGAATGGAACATTTGTGACTTCCAGCTCCCTGTGCAAATTTATATGCATCCTCCTACTTATTAAAATCAATTGTCTCCTATAGTCAGTCTCAAGCTTCCCATATGTCCCCACCTTCTTGCCATTTCCTCTGTCCTGTAGTGTGCTTATTCACCCTAACAACTAGCTCTATCCAACTACCAAAAAGATATAAAGCTTCTTTCCTCTTCTGACCCTTTGATCACATCTTTCTGAGCTGCTGCCATCTGGCCCAATATGAACTCATTCTTTATTGGCCATCTAACCATGTTCTGTGGAGATTCCACTGACTCTTTATACTATAGAAAATCTCTAGGAGGTCACTGTGGCTTCTTACATGTTCCTTTATCAGAATATGATTGCATAATCCTTCTAACCCTTTGTGGATTTGAGCCACTTACAGCTGGAAAACTGAGGCAGGGTTTAATTGTACACCATAGCTTTGTCATCTGGCCCAGCGCCCAGGCACTTAGCAGCTGTTCACCATATTGTATAGTCTAAAAAGCAATTCCTCATTGACCCAAAGCATTACAGCACCAAGGAAGAAAAGTGACCTCCATTCCAGGAAAAGGTTTCTTCTGAGCGTCATGGCCTCCTTTTGTGTTCTGGTGTATGGTACCCAGGTAACCACAATTAATTTTATGTCTACATATGCCTGCTGCCTACACCTCACTGTCAGTTTTAAAATTCAACCTGAAGTTAAAATTAATCTTGCATTTCTTCTTTTTGCTAATAAGAATGTTTCCAGTCCTCTGGGTAGGATACTATATAAAAACAAGGGCAGAGTCTATTGCAATGAGGTGAGACTAGAAATGGTCATTTACAAAGACACAGACAGCACAAAGAAACAAGATGATCTCAATAGTTCCAGTGGAAAGATTGTGTGTGTGTGTGTGTGTGTGTGTGTGTGTGTGTGTGTGTGTGTATAGATGCAGGTATATGTGCATGCATGTATGCATGTAGAGGCCAGAGGCCAACCTCAGGTGTCATTCCTCAGCTGCCCTCTACTTGGTTTGGTTTTTGGAGACAGGTTATCTGTATTGGCCTGGAGCTTACCAATTTGACTAGGATAACTGGCCAGGAAGTCCGGGGGATTCACCTGTTTCCACCTCACCCATGCAGAAATTACAAGCCCATGCCACAATGCCCAGCTTTCTATGTGGGTTCCAGTAACAAAGCTTAAGTCCTCATGCTTGCACAACAGACACTTTCCCCATTCAACTGTTTCCATAGCCCTGCTTTATTAACTAATGATTTTGCACACTCCCTAAAGAGTAGTGAACATCCAGGGAGAACCTTAAGTATCAGAGGAGCTGGCTGGATTTTCATCCTATTGAGACTGCAGCAGGGATAATGAGCTAATGTGAGGAAAGCTTGAAACACTCACCAGGCATACTGGAGGTGAATGCACATTCATGCATTAGTCACTCCTCCTCAGCACTCTGTCCAAATGTGAAGACAAAGCAGAGGCATGATTACTTCCAAGACACTGGTGTTGGTGACCCCTGTGCTGCCAGTAGGTGCTTTAATGTCTAACAGGGCTGCTTCCTATAATGGTTTCGCTTTCACAGAATCTGCTAGCCACTGTCTCTCAGATGCAGAGGTGCTGCAAGGGTATTTCCTACTGTCTCCAGGCTTGCCCCCCAGTCCTGTACAGTGCAGCCTGGCAATCCTCACAAAACATGGAGACATTACTGCATCATTTATCAATCACGTATTGCTTTATTCCACATTATTTTATAACATGGATTTAGACCTTGCATAATATACCCCTGGACCTCCAGCCTTAGGTATTTATTTATCTGAGAAGACTTGCTCCCATTTTTATGCATCCATTAATTCTGGAAGAGACTTCACCTGTCACAGGAAGGTCACACATGCCTTGACTTTGACCTGGAGTGCTGGTCACACCTAATCAGCTCCCACATGTCACTACCTCCTTATGGAAACACCCTGCGCAGTGGCCTCAAGAGCCCATTATCTTTCCTTCATAGTACATTGCAAGCTTTCATTTTACATTTAATTTTAAAAGCATGCCTGTCCACCACTGTGCAAGCTGAATGATAGCAAGGGCAGCGTGGTTTCTATACACAATCTCAGTCCTTGCTCTGATGAGAATGTCAAAGATATGAGGGGCATTTGCCAGCATTCACCCAAGGAGAGAAAGCCAGAATAACAAAGAAGACAAGGAAAGGTAGAGGGAAAGATGGGCTTAGTCACCAGAGACAGTAGGTCTCTTTGTGTGAGTGTGTGCATGTGTAATGTGCATGTGTGTGGGGGGGTACATAGTACATGTGAACGAGCATGTATAGACCAGAGGTCAATTACGAGCACTGTTCCTCAGAGTACTGTCAGCCTTGGTGGCTGTTTGTTTGTTTGGAGTCGTGGTCTCTCACTGTTCTGGAACAGTCTAGTTCAACCAGGCTAGCTGAGAAATACACCCCAGGGAGATGCCTGTATCTATTTCTCCAGTACTGAGATTGCAAGTGTGCAATCCCACAGCCACTATTTTACATAGGTTCTGGGTAGCAAACTCAGGTCTCCATGCTTACAGTTTAGTCTCCTTGGTCCTGAGATGGCTCATCTAAATTATCAACTCGATTGGACTGAGAAACTACAAGGCACTTCTGCCCATGCCCTTGACACATGTAATAATGAGATCACAAAGG